AGGAGGAGGAGGAGGAGGAGGAAGAAGAGGAACAAATGGCGCTTTGACAGATAAGGTCTGGCAGTGCCAGCGCGGCCTCTCAGCAGCCGGGGAGACGAAATAAACTCCAAAATAATGAATTTCCTCCCTTTTCCCCCAAAAGCGGCGGCTCGGGGGCGGTGAGAGGAGGGCGGGGGGGAGCCGATGGCTCCGTGCGGATCCGAGCTCGGCTCCAGCAGCGCCACCGCTGCCTTTTCTCCACGGGAAGACGTTTCCGAGGCGATGCCGTGAATATTTAATCCGGATCCAGCGTTTCGTCTGGATTTGTGTTTTTTTTCCCCCCTCGGAGCGAGGTTTGGGATCGCTCGCTCCGTGGGAAAAGAGCCTGGCGAGATTATTGGGGGAAAAGATAATTTGGAATAAAAACGCGGCTGTAAAATCATCCCCCGCCCCTCCTCGCCGTCCTCTCCTCTTTGTTAGAGCCCAGAGAGATCATCCACAGCGATTTCCGAAACATCTGGCCAGGCTTTGCCTTCTTTATTTCACTTTTATTCCCTTTTTTTAATAAATTTTTACAGCCCGCAGAGCGAACCCAGCCGGGCTCTGAACCCCAAATTAAAAAATCAGAACTTTTCCCCAACTTCGGAGGGAGGGATGAGCCCACCCAGGCACTGAAAACGCCAAATTCAGCCCAAAAATCCCTGGTGGGGGTGGGGGACACCCCAAAAGGAGAAGCCGAAATGGGTTTTGCTAAATCCTAAAAAAAAAAAAAAGGGGTTGGGGAAGGGTCTGGGCTGGAAAAGAGAGGAAAAATAAAGAAATTTATTCTTTATTTGAGCCCTCTCAGGCCCAGCTCTTCCCCCTCCTCCTCCTTTTTTTATTTGGGCCCTCCCGCGTGGATTTTTTTGGAGATTTCCCTCAAAATCCTCATTTTTTTCCCTCGTTTTTTCCGCAGCTCGGGACGTTTCGAACCCCGGGAGCTGCGAGAGGAAAAAAAAGAGGAGGAGGAGGAGGATGGGGATGAAGGGCGGGATGTGGGAGGCCGGGAATTCGCGTGGGCTCCGCGCTGCCTTTGTGTTGCTTTTCCATCCCTTTATCCCCTTTTTTTCTGGGGTGGGTTTATTTTAATTTTTTTCCCCTTAAAAGAAAGGATTTTCCCCTCCTTTTAATGTAAAAATTAAGGGGGAAATAAATATTAAAAAAAAAAATCGCCGTTTTGATTTAATACAAGAAATAAATATATAAATTTTAAAAACCTCGAGAAAAATGAAAGCAGAACCGAACGAAGGAAACATTTCCCTGAGCCTCTGGAATTGTTGCTCTGAATTCCTTTTGTCTCCTCTCAGGGCGCACGAGGAGATGATTAAACCTCATTACAAAGAAGGAAAAAAAAGCAAAAAGCGAATGATTTATGGAGGAAAACAAAAAAAAAAAAAAAAAAAAGAAAAAATAAAAGCGGGGTTTTGGAATGAATTCCGGAGCAAACACGAGTTTGTCAGTTTTATAAAGACCTTTATTTACTCTATGAAAATAATATACAATAAATAATTTGCCCTTTGCTATGAAAGGATTTGAATAAATAATCTACATCTAAAACGTAAAAAGAGGGAGGAAAATTCCCCTGATTTTATTTATTTTTTATTTTTTTTTTATTTTTTTTTAAATTTTAATTTTATTACGAAATCTAAAAGTCTCCTTCTGATTCCTGAGAAAGTGGCTGGGGAGGATTTAGAATTTTTTTCTTTAAATTTTTTTTTATTTTTCTCTTGAGAATTGACATCTCCGCCGTGCCTGAGAACAACCTTGGAAATAAATAAAAGGGGGAGGGGGGGGAGGAAATAAATAAATTATAAATAAAACTATCGTGAAATTGCTGCATTTTAGCCAAACTCGGGCCTCTCTTTCACCTTCTGGGATAAATATCGGGAGGTTTGGGTCTCACGGAGCTCTGAAGAGAAAGAGGGAGGAGGATGAGAAATGGCTTGAGGTTGATTTTTGGGGGTTTCCCCTTCTTTTAGGGCAGATTTGGGGGGTTTCCCTTTATTTTAGAGCAGATTTTGGGGGTTTCCCCTTCTTTTAGGGCGGATTTTGGAGGGTTCCCTTCTTTCAGGGTAGATTTTGTGGGGTTTTTTTCCTTCTTTTAGGACAGATTTTGGGGCTTTTCCCCCTCTTTTAGGGCCGATTTTGAGGATTTTCCTTCTCGCAGGGCAGATTTTGAGGGTTCCCCTCTCTTTCAGGACAAATTTTGGGCATTTCCTCTTCTTTTAGACCAAATTTTGGGAGGTTGCCCCCCTTTTTAGGTCAGATTTCAGGGGCTCTTCCTTCTTTCAGGGCAGATTTGGGGTGTTCTCCCCTCTTTCAGGGTAGATTTTGAGGGTTCCTCCTCTTTTAGACCGGATTTTGGGAGGTTCCCCCCTCTTTTAGACCAAATTTCGGGGAATTTCCCTTCTTTCAGGACAGATTTTGGGAGGTTCCCCTCTCTTTTAGACCAAATTTCGGGGAATTTCCCTTCTTTCAGGACAGATTTTGGGAGGTTCCCCCCTCTTTTAGACCAAATTTCGGGGAATTTCCCTTCTTTCAGGACAGATTTTGGGAGGTTCCCCCCTCTTTTAGACCAAATTTCGGGGAATTTCCCTTCTTTCAGGACAGATTTTGGGAGGTTCCCCCCTCTTTTAGACCAGATTTCGAGGGATTTCCCTTCTTTCAGGGCAGATTTTGGAGGGTTCCCCCTCTTTTAGACCAAATTTCGGGGCATTTCCCCCCTTTCAGGGCAGATTTTGGGTGTCCCCCCCAGTTTTCGTGCCGATTTTGGGGTGCCCTCCAGCCGGTCCCCCCCGCTAATCGAATCCCTGCAGGTCGATGCTCCAAAGCGCGCTGCTGAAGAATTCCAGCTCCTCCTCGGAGAACCTCAGCGGGCTCTCCAGGGCAGCGGGAAGAGCCGGGGAAAAGCCTTGGGAAAGCTCCAGGCACGGCAGCAGCCCCAGCTCCGGCAGCACCGGCGAGTCCGGAGCCTCCCCCGCGGCCGGCCCGGGCTGCTCGGAGCTCGGCCCCGCGTTCCCCCGCGGCTCCGGCGGAGCGGGGCTGCCCTCGGGCTCGCTGCCTTCATCCAGGCCGCCCAAACCCGGCTCCTCTCTCCGCTGCCTTTGCCTCTTGTGCTTCATCCTCCGGTTCTGGAACCACACCTTGACCTGGCGCTCGCTGAGCTGCAGCAGCGCCGCGATCTCCACCCGCCGCGGCCGGCACAGGTATTTGTTGAAGTGGAATTCCTTCTCCAGCTCCAGCAGCTGGGTGTTGGTGTAGGCGGTGCGGAGCCTCCTGGAGCCGCTGCTGTCCGCCAGCCCCTCTGGAACACAGGGCCGGGGGTGGGGATGGTCAGCGGAGGGGACAAAGCCAGAGGAGTTCTGAATTGTTGAATTCAGCTCTTCCCACGCTGGAGGAGGATTTGGAATCGCTTTTGCCTCGCGGGGGGAAGGGGTTTTTATCCCAGGCCTCTCCCTTTAGAGCCCTTCCCTCTCTGCTATCTCTGCAGATAAAGGGAATTTCAAACCATCTTTCCTTTCCTTTCCTTTCCTTTCCTTTCCTTTCCTTTCCTTTCCTTTCCTTTCCTTTCCTTTCCTTTCCTTTCCTATTCCTTTCCTATTCCTTTCCTATTCCTTTCCTATTCCTATTCCTATTCCTATTCCTATTCCTTTCCAATTCCTTTCCAATTCCTTTCCTTTCCTATTCCTTTCCAATTCCGTTCCTCAATTCAACTCTTCCCCCTCTGGAGGAGGATTGGGAATCGGGAGGAGAAGAGATTTTGCTCCCCTGCCTCTCCCTTTAGAGCCCTTCCCTCTCTGCCACTCTGGAGGATAAATGGAATTTCAAACCATTCCTTCTTCCCTTTTTTTTATTGTTATTATTCTTATTTTTGGTTTATTTTTTACCCTTTCCCGGTATTTTGATTTCATTATTCCAGCTTTCCCCGGCCAATCAGCTCCGCCCTGATTTTACCTGATTTTATCCTGCCCGATTTTACCTGAGCCGAGCCATGGAAATCCTGGAATTGTTCTTCCAGCGCTTTATCCCGAGGGAAAGCGGCTCCCTGGCCCGGCAGCGCCTGGCGGAGCCGCTGCTCCTTTTCCTGGGGGGCTCGGGGGGCGTTTGGGGCTGGAATAATTTCATTTTGTAGGACCAGCCCTCGCTCTTTCACCTCCCCACCCCGCTGGCAGCAACCCCCGCCTTCCCCACCCATTTTCCTTCCCCCTCCTCGTTTTCTTGGCATTTTGTTCTCTTTACTTTTCCTTTTTTTTTTTTTTTTTTTTTTT